CACCTGGCTGACAGGACTGTCCTGTTCTCCTCACTGTGTGGATCCTGAAACAGCTTCCTCTTCACTCTGTCAGGGATTCGATTCCACTTCCTTCACCAGAGTGTGTTTAGAATTTGGGAAAAGAGCCCTGAGCAAAAAAGCCACTGCAAACTCCAAGGCTCTAGTTAGCCCAGAAACAAAACCAACTATAGTTCGGTATCCTTATTAATTTAACAAAAATTAAATGAAAAAGAATTTTTTTGCAAAATAATTGACATGAATATGCTGACTTTTAGCATTTTCTCTCTTCATGTGATTAAATAAACTGAGCCTGGAAATTTAAAGCATGGCGATTTGACGTGGAATAACAAAATTCATTTTTTCCATCAGCATACATAGTTTGTTAAATTGTAATGGCACTTGGTCATACGCTTCAGGGACAAATGTTTCTAAAGGGGTCAAGTCTGAGTTCTGGAAAAGATGTGATGAGCATGTATTTTTGAAAATGCTTGAACCATTATAATTACCAAGTTTTCCGCAAGGCAGTCATGGAAGTCAGTAACTTCTGGCCGAAATGCAAGGGCCGTGGAGAAAATTTGGGAAGAGCCGAGGAAGGCATCAAATGCTAACTCATGGAAAGGTTCACACAAACGCCCTGGCTTCCAACTGTCCCACAATGAGCATAAACTGTCCCACAACAATTGAAACAGATGTTTCCACTTTGTCTGTATTTGCCAGAGAAATAAAGGTTTGATTTTCCAATCTATCCTTGAGCTATTAAGACTCTATGCTAAATTGAGAATTTATATGCTGAAATGTATCATTTATTTGGGTAGAGCTTGCCAATAATGTTGCAAGCCACCAAGTCAGCGAGTATGAGTGAAAAAACATACCACTTTTAGTCCCTGCAAATATGCAGCTTATTGTATAATTATCACATGCCACAGTGTGTTTGGAAAATTCTGAAAAGGCTATATTCAACCCCACCATCATAAAGATATCATCACTGAGCTATGTGGAGCTGATTACATCTATTTTAGGCTCTTATTATTATAGTCCTTTCTTCAACCTGTGAAAAAACTTAAAAATGACAATATTTATCTTCTCTGTGTTTTAGAAAGGAAACCTGGTGACATAATGGATAACCAGCTGGCTAGTAATCAGAAGGAGGTTCGAACCAACAAGCTTCTCTGTGGGAGAGGGATGTGCTATACTATCTCCATAAAGGCACCAGCCTTGGAAACCATATGCGAAGTTCTACTCTTTCCTTTAAGGTCATTATGAGTCAGAGTCAATCCAGTGCCAATAAGGTTCCTATAAGAATTAGTTTGCTCTAAATCTACCTGTTTGGCATGTATATCAACCAAAATACAACTACCCACTCCTATCTTTATTACTCCAGAAATTAAATTTATACACAGTCATTTTTTCACTCAGGTAGATTATTGTTTAAAATAGTACCATACAGCTCTAAAGTTATAAAATCATTAGAAATCAAAGACATTTTATTGATAGGCTCCCTCTAGAAGACTAAGGGGTGTCTGATTCAGGCCAGTCTTTCCATTTACTAGCTATGCATCTGAGAGCTGGACAATGAATAAGGATGACAAAAAAAGAACTGATGCCCTTGAGCTGTGGTGCAGGAGAAGAGAACTGAACATCCCAAGGATGGACAAGTGAATGAACAGATATGTCTTAAAGACAGTGCAACCAGAGTGCTCTTTGGAGGTAAGAACGATGAGGCTTCACCTTACATACTTTGGGCATGTTGCTAGAAGGGCCTACTCCTTAGGGAAGGACATGATGTAGGGAAAGGAGAGAAGGCCCTTCAACCATGTAGACTGTTATGGTAACTGCTGCAAAGAACTCTTGTGTATCAGGAAGTGTGAGAGTGGTGCAAGATAGAACAAAGTTCAGATATTTTGTTCATAGGGTTGGTATGAGTCATGCTTGACTCAACAGCATCTAAACACCACCATCACCAAATTAGATTGCTTTAGAAAGATGAGTGATTATTGTAGGAAGTGGAAATACAAATGCGGCTTAAAAAAAAATGAGTGTCACTTAAATTTCCTGGAAGAAAATAGTAATGCTTCTTCATAAATGTGGTAGAAGTTATTAACTCTGTATTTACATCAAAATCACATGAAGTCATCTTATAACAATTTTATACAGTAGGCCTACTTTCATTTCTAAAAATCTCTTACATCATTTCACTGAACATGAGTAACTTTCATTTGTCACCAGCATATAGGTGCATTTAAAGGACAAAACTACATTTATCCAGGTAAACTCAACCTCTGCAAAGGTAGTCTGCCAGTGGTTTGTCCTCTAAAGTCACCTATGTACACTGTTAAAGATGCATGAGACTAAAGTTCTTCTTCACATTGGAAAATGGAAATATAATAGTAGGAAGAACTAGGAATTGCACTATTTTCATATTATCACACTGCAGTTGTGTTTTTTTTTCTTATGTTAACACAACAAAAGTTTATTTCAAGCTTTCACTGGTTAAAGCTTTGCTACCTCTTGCATAGCGGTATAAAAAATTTCTAATTGGTTCTTTGTCAAAAGTCATGATCTGTTCCTATGAACTTACAAATAGAGGTTCTAGAGTTGGAACAGACTCAGAGCTGACCCTTCAGCAGGTTTTTGGAGCCAGTAAATTGAATGGAGGAGAGTGTCCATCCATCTCTTACAGAGAAGCAGGTGGTATATTTAAGTTGTAAGTACTGTTGTGAGCTGGTGGCCTAATGGCAAGAAGTTGCCCTGCAATCCTGAAGGCATGCAGTTCGAGGCCACCAGCTGCTCCATGGGAGAATGATGGGTCTTCTCCTGTGGGATTAACTACCTCTGAAAACTTACCAGAGGGTCAGCTATGGGTCAGTTTTGACTCAACAATGCACAACAATAACAAGCACTGTTGAATCGACCACAACTCACAGCGACCTGTGAGTAACGGATCTGAACCCTGTCCCATCATGTGCCACCCTCACCATCTCTAACACACTCAGGCCCACGGGTAACAGTAACAGTTCTTCATTTTAACAGTCAGATAAACAACAGAAGGGCCTTGCTGATCGAGATCATGAATTACACGTTTGTATGCCCCACGATGCACACCAGGGTACTTCAGTTACAGTGAATAAACTGCATGTACGCACAAGACTTCTGAAGAGATAAAAAGTTTATTCTCTGTCATTTAAAAACAAGACAATCACTGCCATCCCACTTTATCACTCTGGGAATGCACAGTAAAACTAGTGTTTCTGCATGGCACTATCTCTGGTGGTGCAAGATGACCAAAAGGTTGGAGGTTCAAGGCAATCCAACAATCAATGCCAAGGAAGAAAGCGGTACTGAGCTACTTCCAGAAAATCAGTTACTGCCAACTCTAAGGGTTACATTTCTACTCTGACACACATGGGGTCATCATCAGTCTGAGCTGACTTGACATCAACTCATTTTTGGAATTTCAGTCTGCTGGCCAACCAATGGAATAGCTACATTTTTAGGTAAATTCAATTTGGTCTAAAAAATCTTCCTTCTATTCCGAAGAGTTAGTTTCAAAATTCACAATAGATTATGGCTTTCATGTCTTGATTAAAATATGGAATGTAACTCCACTTTTTTTTTCTTGAAACAGTTGTTTAAATAGTTTACAAACCCATTTCTTTTAGAAAGGATGCACAACTTGTTTCTGGGAACATTCTAAGGAAGTCTACAAATTCTTCTATTAGCATTTCCTGTTGTTGATGGCTAATCTTATCCCTCAGTGGTATCGTGAACCTAAATTAAATATGCATTTTAGCCCCAATTTGTACGACACTGAGAACAAGATATGTCCATTTTAGAATAAGTAGAAACTGGAAGGGGGATATTCTAACACAAAACAGCATTCAAACTGGTCAGGTATCACTATAAAATAATAATCACTGCTAAAATATGATGTAATATACTACACAGTACACAGGAACAATGATTTTGTAAATCACCACCTAACTTGGGAGGGACTTGAGAGCATTACGCTAAGTGAACTAACTCAGTCCCATAAAGACAAATACTGTATCAGACCATTATTGTAGAACATGTATGAGGATCCAAGGAGGAGTGGGTGGGTGGAAGAAGAGTGGAGAGGATGGGTAGGTGGTAGGGGAATGGGGATTGGGGACTAATCACAGGGTTGCATAATTTGATAGGTAGAGGGAGGGGTGGGTAAAAGAAATGGGAAAGATCTGGAGTGAAAAACAATTTATATAAACTTTGTAAGTAATTGAGTATAAAATAAAAATTTTATTTAAAAAATGCATGTGGGAGACAGTGACTCAGCTGACCCTACACAATGCAGGTCCGCCTACATTTCCCAGAAACCCAAAGGTCAAGACTGACACCCAGTTCAAGAGAGGTAGACTTTCAATGAGGTGGATTGATTCCGTGACTGGGGTAATGGGGTAAGTGTGTCAGAGACAATAAGACAGGCACAAGATAGAGCAGGGTTTAGGGCTCTTGTTCATTGGGTCGCTATGAATCACAGGTGACTTGACAGCACATAACAACAAACATGATGTAATATATAAAACACCCTTTGTTCTATAGCCATCATTTCCTATTTAACAGTATTTTATAGTCATTTCCTGCTATACTATAATAAAAGATTGTTGTAAAATACTGTATATGATGGTACCATAATATTCCACCGTGGTGTTGTTTTACATGCTGTCAAGTGGGAATGGACTCACAGCTGACCCTTGAGTGTGTTTTCAGAAGCTGCCAATCACAGGGGAGGAGACTGCTCATCTTTCTTCCACAGAATATTTGGTGGTTCTGAACTATCTGTGATTGGGTTGGCACCAGAACTACTTATCTACTAGGCCACCCACCAGAGCTCCCAAAAGTCCGTTCTGTGTGTGCAACAAAATGATCGTTTTACCTAGAGTCATTTATTTCCATTTTTTTCTCTACTGCAAATACTGCTAACATTTCCTCCACAGAGTATATAACATAACAAATACTAGACCCACCAGTTACTTGAGTAGGTGCAATCACTTGGCTGGCACTTGATGTAGAAGCTTCGGGAGCTACTTCCACAGGAACAGGGGGTGAGGATTTTTCAATCACTACTACATGAGGAAGGAGGGAATAAAAAGAAAATTCAAAGCGGCCATGAACACAGATCCCATTTCAAAATATAAGAGGAATTTAGTCTAATGATAAAACCACAGCAGTTTTGCTTAATAAAGAACTACTATAGTTTCCTAAAGCTCATGCTATCAATCTACAGCTCTGGTTTCAACATCTAGCAAGACTAACTGAGAGCACTTCAAAAACCAAGAAAACTGATCCTTCATCAGATGATGGGCTTCAGTAATATTTTCATAATATATACTACTTCTCACTACAGAAAAAGAGAAAGCCTCTTTCTTTGTCCCATTACATTCCACTTAGTATCATTTCTATAATCCAGCACATCAATCACACTACCATTATAGTATAAAAATATTAGTCAATTATGTGTGTTTTTAATTAACTATAATTATGAATTCTAATGTTTTTCTCAAGTTTAAATTTATGGACATGCAAAAACTCTTATCTTACTCTTTTATTTAGGCTATTTTTACAAACAGCACAGGTAAGCCAGCTTACCTGGAAACTGTGGGGGCAGGTTCATAGTAGAAAGCCCTGGGGAGAGCTGGGTCTGACCACGGTCAAATTTGGTTTTCTCTTGATCCAATGAAGTTATTTCCTACACAGTTTGTTGAGAGAGAGAGAGAGATAAAAGGCAGGGGAAGGAGAAGTGAGAGAAAGGGAGAGAGAAGGAAAATAAGAAATTAAAATCAGTATTTTCATTTTCTACATATTACTGTTTTTACTTAATTCATTATACTCTTAGAAAAGCAAAGAAATACCACATGGCAAAATAGGTGTAATCATGCCAAATTAAAAAAAAAAAAAAAACAAAAAACAAACCAAAACAAAAAGAACCATTGCTGCACCTTAAATACTGAAGTCGCTGGGTGTTCCCAGCTCAGTTGATCAATGTAGACTTTCACCTATTTCTCACTTGTCCCAAGCAGACCCTTGAAGCAGGATCTGTGGTCTTTATTCCATTCCATCCAGATTCAAAGTCATTCTTTTCTCCTCCCTTTTTAATGTTTCATTCCAAATAATGGGCATTTACACTAATCCCCCTTCCTGCTCTTTCCTTTTCATTTCGAATATGAACAACTCCCACTAGCTAGTCTAGACTCACTTGTTCATTCTCAGATGGGATAAAAGTAGGCATAGGTCAATGGCAATTCATTTTATAAAACACAATGCCTATAAGTGATGGTTTGAGACACAAATGTGAATGGAGGGATGTGTGAAAAGCAATGATACACAATGTATACAAAATTGTCTTCCAGAAATATTGAGCACTTAATAATTTCTCTCCACATTCCCCTCCCCCTTTTAAAAGAAATCAGAATACAGACTATAATCTTGAATGTCCACTCTCTGTAGTCCATTGTCAATGACAAAAAAAGGAACAAACCACCACAGGGACTGTCAGCCCACTCTTACAGCTTACAAATAGAACAGGAAGGGACACTGTTGTTGTTGTTGTTGTTATGTGCCGTCGAGTCGCTTGCGACTCATAGCGACCCTATGTACAACAGCCCTAAACCCCGCTCTATCCTGTGCCAATCGCACTGCCTCTGACACACCCATCCCGATTACCCCAGTCACTGAATCAATCCATCTCATAGAGGGTCTTCCCCTCTTGCGCTGTCCCTCCACTCTGCCCAGCATGACGTCCCTCTCCAAAGACCTGTCTCTCCTTACAGCATGTCCAAAGTATGTCAGGCGAAGCCCCAGAATCCTTGCCTCCAAGGAGCAGCCTGGTTTAAGCCTCTCTAGGATGAATCTATTTGTTTTCTTGGCAGTCCATGGTACATTCAGTACTCTTCTCCAGCATCACAGCTCAAAGGCGTAAATTCTCCTTCTGTCCTCCCTAGCCATTGTCCAACTCTCTGATGCATAACAAGTGATTGCAAAAACCATGGAGTTCCTAAAAACAGTCAATCTGATTTTCCATGTGACAGATAGGGTCTAGTAGTGGAGGAGTATTTGCTTACAAAATAACTATAATCTGGTATTCCAATCTTCTAAAGCTACGCTACCCATGTTCTCTTCCTATTGTCTCCCAGTTCTGCATGCTGATCAGTAGTCCCTGGCTACCCTATTACACACATCCCTTTGCACATACAATTTCTCACTCCTGAACTATCTTTCTACCTCTTCACATAATGACACTCTGGGGTAAAGTGTCAAAGTCAAAGAGAAAACAAGTATACTTTCACCCAGAAATAAAATTCAAAACAAACAGAAAAGAAAATGATGCAAGTGTTCCCATAATGAACATAGTCATGAACAGAGAAGAAGAAATCTGGAGTTAAGCTGTCAGGTACTTTGTTGGACCACTCCCATGCTAAGCAACTGTTCCCATCTACTAACTAGAATCAATTCAAATTAACAAAATTAAAAACTATTGCAAGTTATCAATCTTTAGAGAGATTATTTAAAAAATACAAATGTGTGTTTAAAATCTGCATATCTACTGTTCTTCTTTTGAAACTAACAGGAGAAAATTCCTTCCCTGATGAACACTATCACTCCAAAGTCTTATTTTCCTTTTTTCAATTCTTTAAAAATATATATATATATATATATATATATTCTATTATATATATATTTAAAGAGGCCTGGTTAAATGCTCCATTGCTACACTAGATGTTGGTCATTTGAATGTACCAGCTCTTCCTTAAGAGGAAGCTACAGCAGTCTACTTCTGTAAAGATTACACTGTTGAAAATGCCCTGGGCACTTCTCTCTGCCCTGTGGGGTGTCTCAGGAGTCAAAATCCACTCAGCGGTACCAGGTTAGCTTTGGTGTCCCCTATTCCTAAGCTAAAGGTTTTAAAAAATCATTGATGATAATTTATACGCATACGTGGCCCCTATCTAAATTCCAATACTTAATGAATTCTTGCCAATGATACATAAACACTTAATAAAAAAGAACTACCCAATTTTCTGTTATCATTAAGTAAAAACAACCAAGTTGTTTTCAGCAATGGACCAAATATATTCAGAGAGGTAACACTATTGCACAAATAAGAATTAGATTTAGCAAATGTCTTCATTTCCAAATAATAAGTTCTGTAATTTATAATGTTATAGTATGCAAAACACTCAAACACAAAAGAGTGCTAAAAATGTCTGAGATTTTCTGAGAAGCAGAAGTCTAATATATGATTGTAACTTTCAGGGCTAAGCTTTGTTCTCCATATTTAATTCAAGATGTATTTAGGTGAATGTGGAAGTATTTTACTCATTGTACACGCATTCCGATTATAGATTATAACACAAACGCCAGGTCCCTCCCATCATTTGTCCAGAGAGTGAGCTGACTCTGAACTCTGTTTAGGCTCTTCAGTCCTTTGAGTTTCTACCACTATCATCTCACTAAAATTTAAAACTCAAACTCATTGCCTTCAAGTCAGAATTGACTCATAGTTGGCCCTCGAGTGGGTTTTTGGAAGCAGGAATTGCTCTTATCTCTCCCACTGAACTGTTGGTGGATTTGAACTGCTCACATTTGGTTTAACAGAGCAATTCTCTATCCACTTGGCCACCAGACTCCCCTAATACATGAGACAGAGATTTCTGCCTGTGTGTCCTCTACTCTTTTCCTACCATCAAGAATAGTCCCAGTCGTGTGCAGGCACTCAGGATTTCATGAATGAATGAATACCACATTTCCTTATCTTATAGTGATCCTATTACTGTGTGTAAGTCTAAAAAAAAAAATTCACATTCATTTTAATAGAAAACAATTGAGAAAGTAGAGAAAAGATTTTAAAAAGAGTAAATTACCTTTTCAGGGGGTGTAGTTGCCACTAGAACCAGAAAAGAAAGTAAAGCGTTAGTAAAATTCAAAACAATTCACTCAGAGATCTAAACTTGAAAATGAATTCTTGTCATATACCCTTTTGGGGAAACTGTACACATGATGCTGCCAAGGGGAGATATCCTTCCTTCCTCATGGGGACAGGCTCAGGCAGCCCACATGATGGTAACGTTCTTTCAAACCTCAACACTTAAAACTTCTGATAATTCCTTAACTTTAAAAAAACTAAAGAAAGTAATACTTCTAGTCCATTATTTTATGCCAAATCTGTACAATTTATCCAAATCATAGAAAAGATTTACAAAATTTTCAGATATTTAGTGTGTTTGTGTGTACCATCGTATTGGATCCAATTGGTACAGGAGGAGATTGCCCCTCCTTCTCCAGAGGAGCATCTGAAGGATTTGAACCACAAGCCTTTGTGATTGCAGTGCAGCTTCTTGCCAGCAGGCCACCAGAGCTCCCTTAGGTATTTATTGTTAACACAGTATCTAATGTTTCAAATGCTTTCCGGCATCAATGTTAAAAAAGAAAGCCACTTGTTTTAGCAAGAGAACGCTACACTGTCAATTTACTCTAATCTTTAAATGACATCTTGTGGGCATTATTAGAAAAATAAACCCGCTGAATCATGAAGAAAACAAATCTCACAGGTCTAATAGGACCAATGGCAGAGTAACATAACTATATTAAACTATGCACACACTACACAATCACAAGAGGACAGGGATTTCCTAGTATTTTGAAAGACTTGTTCTTCTTTAACCAAGCCTTAGTATTAGTTCTTAAGCCTTAGGTCAATATTCACTGGAATTTTTCTAATGAACTGATGTCTCTATAAACATAAAGACATTAAGTCCTTAAAACAAGAAGGATTTCAGATACACTGGAATCACTGCTTCAATAATTCTTGTGGCTGGAGAAAATCAATTACATTTCTATTTCCCTAACCCACCACCAAGAAAGGACACAGTATGAAGTAGAATCTGGACCAGAGACAAGTTTCTTCCTGTCTGAACAAAACACGAGTAGTTGCAAACATCTGGCTTTGACACTGCTAAGAACAGATGAATGGGCGCTGTCAATTCCAGGCAGGGTCCCATCTGCTCAGTCTAAGCAGGATATGCTGGAACATACAGATACTGAGTGCTCCCAAAGCCACACCTGACCACCAAGAATGAGGCCCTGCCAGTTCCAACAGCGAACTGAAAAGACAGAGACTCGCGTCCTCCCATGGGTACCTCAGAAGAATCATCTGGAGATGAACTTCTAAATATTCAGCCATACACAACCCTATGGAACACAGTTCTACTCTGACCCACAGAGGGCTGCTATGAGTTAAAATAACCTCCCTGGCAACTGGGTGGCTTTCAATTTTTGTGGTTGAGGTGTTTGGGGTTTTTTTGCTGTTGTTTCTGTTTTCCAATCTACCAACACTATCGTAATCTGGGGTATTCTCTTTCCTAAGATCTGTAGATGAAAAGCTTAAATTATGATCTAATAATCAACTGTCAAAACCAGTACCAGAAATATCCTGTAACAATCCAAGAGTTCTTTCCTTCTAACTGGTAAGAATTGTGTTAATAGAGATCTCTATACACCAGTTTATGTAAGGAGACAGAGACAGAGATAATAACTCTTCTGAATTCCTTTAAGTCAGCAACAAAGTCCATTGTCTCGAGATTCCCTGTAAATGGTTGTTAAGAGGGAAAAGGCGCTCCTTGGTCTTAGGGACCATTTTATGCACTTTGCATAGCCTCTGGCAGGCCATGTTACACGGGAAATGAAGGGACTGTCCCGGGTGACCTCTTGGGATCTTCTGATTCACACTTTCCTACATTCCTTTGCTTCCCTCCCCATTTCCCTAACTGCCTTCTGGACTCTATCATGAAGCTCACTTGATGCTTTCACTTTTCTAAGTCTTATTAAAGAATATCCATTAATAGCTCTCCAGACAAAGAAGTAAGTAAAAGCTATAACCTGAATGATTTAAACCACTTTCCAGGAATAAACACCAAGAAACCATCTCCTGGACAGCAACGAAGAAAACATCCTGAGATGATCATATACCATTACCTGCTGGGTAAATAAAAAGCAGTGACTCTCAACTGGGAACACTTTGCCCCCTAGGAGACATCTGTCTGTATTTGGAGACTTTTTGTTAAAACAACTCTGGGTGTCATGCATTCCATTAGAATGTGCAGGTTATAGCAGCCAGTGTACTGTATCCTACAATACACAGGGAACAGTCCTCCATGACAAAGTAGCATCCAGCCCAGAGTGTCCACAGCCCAAGGTTGAGAAACCCTCTTCTAGAAGGGCATAACTGGGGAAACCAAAGCAAACGCAGAGGCAGATGACTAGAGTTCGCGACCCATTTCCAGTCTCACCTTCTGGCTCCGCCACGCCTGGCCCGTGTTCCCGGGAGAAGGTCAGGGCCTCCACTGGCTCTTCCTTGGCTGGGAGAGGTGGAGGATGAGTACTTTTAGCAACAGGCTGAGTGTTCTTTGGCTTGACATATACAGGTCCTTTACCTACATGGTGATGGATTGGCCTGCGTCTATGAACGCCAGAAACTGTATAACCCATTCCACCAGGACAGATTTCCTTAAAAGCAGCTAGATTTGGGATGGGAAAATATTCCTTTTAAAAATCTAAAAGTGCAAAGCTTATACAGAGGAAAATATCATGATGAATACTTCTTAATAAATCATCGCTTATATATAGTTACAATTTTAAAACTTCAAAATCGTTCAAAACTGTAAGTTTATTGCTTAAATTTATGTTAAACTTTAGCAATTACAGAAGAAAAAGAAACTCAGTCCTTGCTTCTATGAAATATTTCTTCATTAATTTAATGTCTTATCCTAAACCTTCAAGAAGAGGTATTTTATATATATAGTATATATATAATCTCATATTTTAATAAGTATTCTGTATATTAGAAACCAGATTCTATAAATCATATATTTTATATTACATGCTTATTATATATTAGAAAATATGCAGAGGAGATAGTGTATATACGTCTTATACTGTACATATATGTCTTCTATCAACAAAAATCAGGCTTTTTGCTTTTTCTCCAGCTTTGAAGTTCATTTCATGAGTCATTAATAGGAATTCAGTGATGTCTAAGGTAGATGACTAAAAGAAGGCTAGAATAAAATTGAAAAAGTAAAAGCAATCTCTATTCAGGGACATCAAATGTAGAAAATAATTCTGATTTGCTTTGACTTGATGAATAGAGTGTACTAGCTGGTTTGAAGACTTCTGAGAAGTAGGCTAGAAAAAATGGAAAGAGTTTGAAATGAGATTCTGAAGATAGAAGGAACTGAGAGACAACAAAACCAAAACAAAACCCAAACATGCTAAAGAAATGGTAAGTAGGACCCCAGAAAGAATAGAAATGCCAAATTAGGATGTAGTTATTTTCATGGGAATGGATGAGTAGGTGGGTAAAAAGTTAATCATAAGCAGCTGGTGAGATTATTGAGCATGGCGAGTTTTGGTGGGCCCGGGACTGTCCGTCCATGGCAGAGATGTGGATGGCAGAGATGGGGTTTTATGTTAGTAAGTAGACTAGACACCTGTGATGTGCTACGTCCCCACTGACTAACCCCCATGAAAAGGTCATGGGGAACACAGGGTGGCATGTGGCCAAGAAGAAAACCCATTTAATTCCTTTGGTGTCAGTACTGGAGGCAATTACTGAATGCAGACGCCAAGGAGCATATTATCCGCTTTTCAAGTCCTACTCTAAATGTGAGAGTAAAACAAGTTCATTTCTCACTTCAACTGAATAAGAGAACTCTTGCTACATATTGTGGTATATATTGCTCTCAAGAAAAAAGATTTTAAAACCTTTCTTGAAGCATCCCAATATACTGTTTTTACAAAGATCAAACTCTAAACAAGAAACTTTATTGTTATATTTTTAATTAGTGCCATCCTTAACCAATGTTACTTGAAAGAAAATTTTCAGAAGAAAACATGTTTCTCTACCAAATATTTGAAGTACTAATGAACGAAATATTATTTTAATGAAAATTGCCAAATAACCAAAAATTAGTAAAGCCTCACATTTTAATGCTTAATATGATTTTGAAATTTAGTTTTTGTATCATATGGAGGAGTGTCACTGCACTGGTCTTGGCTGAGTTCTGGTGGGCAAGGCTGTGGGGAGTTGTCCTGCTAACCAACAGACCACACCTGGCTGGCAGTTCGAATCCAGCCACAGCTACAAGGGAGAAAGATGGGTTCTCCCCTGCAAAGTACATCTTCAAAATCCCCCGTGAGCGCCTCCCAACCCCATGGAGTTGGTCTCAACTTGAAGGCAATGAGTGAGTGAGCATCCTGCAAGTTCAGCAGTGTGAAACAATCAGCTCTTCCATGCGAGAAAGGGGAGGCAGTCTGCATCAGTGCAGATTCACGGCCTTGGAAAATGCATGGGGCAGTTTTATTCTGGCCTATCGGTCAGAATAGTCAGAAAGTGCATGGGTCAGAACGGACTTGACGGCAGTGAGTCTCGGTTTCGTTTTGGCCCCTTGATTACATTTACTCTCCTATTTGTGCCCATGTAAAAGAACTGAAAAACATACAAAAACATTTAGAGAAATTAAAATAACAATGAATTATGAAGATCATGGAATGGGGATATAATACGTATGGGAAGGTATCAGTATTTGGAAATGTCTGAAGTTATCCAGTCTACCAATATACCATCAACATTACATGATCCCCTATCTTGCCATTTATTCATAATACTCATATTAAAAACTCTGAACTCACTGCCGTGGAGTCAGTTCCAACCTAGAGGCACCTTCCATGAGCCTTCTGAGGCGGTAAATTGTAAGAGGAGGAGACTGTCCATCTTTCTGTCTTTCTCCTGTGGAACTGTTGGGGGGAACTGAAACATCAAAAGATACAGCCTTATGCAGTATTATATAACACTGCATAAGACTATTATTGTAGAAATAGAAGGATAACTAGTAAGATGTGGATAAAAGTCCAGAAAAAGAAGAGGAAGAGGGACAGGACCGCTGAAGGTGGTTAGAGGGGGAATTCATGGGCTCAGAGAGTTTGGTGGATGAAGGGATTAGAAAAAAAACCCAATGGGGAGAGGTAGTCATGGGCAAAGATGAATGGTGTTTCATTTCATAAAATAGTTTGTGGGAATGATTGTGCGAAACACAATGGGCATGATGGAATGTGTGGAACACCATGTACAGAAATGAAACACAATGTATATGAATTTTGTATGCAAAATGCAAACAAATATAACATTCTTTAAAAACATAAAGATGTATAGCCTTTGGTTACATCACAACACTATGGTCTACACAAGAGATGTCTTTTCTGATGCAAACTATAAACAAAGGTAGATAAAAGTGTTAATTTAAAGTTCCATTCAAACCTTGCCTGCTACCTTGCTGTACAGCACAAAGGGCCCTGTGAGCATTAACTCCCTCGGTGGGAAGAGCAGCTCATAAGTTTTATGTCTATTCTGCCCCACTGAATGTAGGACCACTGCTCTGACTATATGAGTCCAACGTTTGCAGGGTTCTTTCCTCCGTTTTTTCTGTTTACCTCTGCCTGGCCCTGTCAGAGAAGCTGGTAGAAGAAGTGAGACACTAGGAGAGAGAGAGAGGAATTTATCCCTTCAGGATATTAACCCTTCAACATGTATCAAGTTAGAGGAAAAGAAACTTCAAGTTTTTTACTCTCCAACTCTTCCTGGAGTTCATAGAGGTTCTGGCTGGACCTACTCCCGAGTTATTAATCCTGAGTAAATTCAATCATGAACACAATGGCCTCTGTTTCCAATTGAATAAAACACAATGCTCACAATGGAGCCTGACAGCGCATGTGCCACAGATGAACAGATGAGCCAACCTACACAAGGTCTAGTTACTGTGCAAGTCGTGAGCTGCCAATCAGCAGGGAAGTGCAAAGCCCAGCCGTCTGCTCTCTCGGCACCTTTAAATGGGAGGCTTAGAGCCCTGGAAGCCAAGAATAAATATGATGGTTTTTCTTAACATTCACAAGGAAGTCTAATGTTACAAAGAAATGACAAAATCTGTTTCTATGTGACTTTTCCCACTGGTTCAATCTTGAAAGTCTACTATTCCTTAAAATGTGATAAGACCATGTTATACTATTAAAAAACAAATACAACAACATCTTCCTGTAAGAGAGTAAAAATGACCCAGGCTGCCAATGACACCCCGCATACTTGCAAGGCTGGGGATGCGTGTGTGTGTGTGTGTGTGTGTGTGTGTGTGTGTTTGTACGGCTGGGCTTGTCTTACCTGTGCCTGGAAGAGGGCATTTCTCACAGTGGGGGCCCCATGCCTTGCCCACGCTACAACAGCAAAGCTGCTTGGTGAGGTGGACAGACAGAGGGTGCATACACTGCCTCCCGGAACTGATAAGCCGGTAACAGGGTCCCTTCTCTTCAGAGATCACGGGGGTATCCGCTGAAGCAGAGAAATAAGGCCTGACATCAACACAGGTCCACTTTTCATGTCATAGCAAAATAAATCTTAATTTCAAGTCTGGATTAAAAGCCATACTTCTGAATAAATCCACCTAGATTTAGGCTTCTTAGTTTAGTTGTGCCAGCGCCAACCTGATCCTTCCTTCCATTTTAACTCAACTCACTCATTGCCATTGAATCAGAATGGACTTCAGCTGACTCTCCAGTGGGTGTTTGGAGGTTGGAAACTGCATGGGATGAGACTGCCCTTCTGTCTCCTGAGGAGAGGCTGGTGAATTTAACCCCCCAGTGAGATGTCTCCTTCCGGTTAGGAGCTCAACTCCCCCTAGTCTATGCTGCCGGAGCTCTTCAATGATGCAAATGGTAAATTAAGTATGTGTGCATAGAGAAACATTTTTTTAAAAAAATACACCTGCACAAATACATCTAATCACTTAGTATCAAAATCACTCCTATGTTTGCTTTCTCCTATGTAACCACAAGAGAGGAAGCTGTAGGAGAGAATTCAGAGAGCCACCACCACACTCTTTGGAAGATGAGGAGAGAACATAGTGGATGCGACAAGGCAGCAGCTGCTCTTCACCCAAAGGACACTGAGGCCAGTGACCTAGGAGGATGGAGAGCAGGAAGTGACTGGCAGTGCCACTGCACCCACTCCAGGCCCACTCAGCACACCAGGCCACATTCATGGAACACCTAAATCCTAGTCTGGATTATTCTCCGATACATTCATTAGATTTGCCAGCTGCCTTCAAGATGATTTGACTCATGGCAACTTCTGAGTGTCAGAGAAGAAGAGTGCTCCATAGGGATTTATGGGTTTTCAGTAGGGATGATTTTCAGAAGATGACCACCAAGTCTTTAGGACAAGTCTCTCCTGGGTAAACTCTCCTTTCCAACCATCTAGAGGTCAAGCTCATTAACCAAACTATTGCACCACCCAGTGACTCTAGATAATAGTTAAGAGTTCATGAATCTAACAACTAGCTTCTCTACTGGGCACAAAAGGCAAACATGCGGATAAAAGTCCTGCTTCAAGGTCTTCACTTTATAATGCAAACGTGAATCGATCATCCTTTGCAGAGCAAGGGACAAGTTCAGAAAAAAACAGCTGAATCAAATCAAGCATAGTGGCCCGTCTCTGTGTCCTTCTCTCTTTCCAATCAAAGCTCCTCTCTGTACCCTATAAAGATAAAAAGGGATTTTTTTACAGCTTTCCCTTCCATCACCCAATCCCCCTAGCACCTTCCCACCCTTCTTAGTTAGATCTAAAATTTCTTTCTTCTGAAAGGACAAAGGACTCAGCCAGATGCTAGGTAAAAGCAAACTGATTAAATTAAGGTCCTGGAACAAGTAGAAAGAATAAGTGTTTAGGGCCAGACAGGCTTGGATTCAAATTATGACTCTATCAGCTGTCGACAATACAATGTAGGGCTGCTCCCATCACATCACTGAGCTTTCAGTAAGGCCCTCACTTAGGAACTGAAAAATCCAAAATGCACATTGGATACAACACCTGCAAAAGCACAAAGCCGACACAAAACACACGTCAGTTTCTGTTGGCACAGAGTCAGTTCTGACTCATAGTCACACAATCGCAGGTGCTTTTATTGATACTACAAGTTGGCCTCAGCTGCCCCAGGACACCTGTATTCTAACTGATTATCACTGAGTGGCTGAATTTGAACACTGCCATTCCAGTGCCTGACTGCTAACCAAAAGGTTACAGGTTCAAGTCCACCCAGAGGCACCTTAAAGGAAAGGAATGGAGATCTACTGTGGAAAAAATCAGCAACTGAAACCTTATGGGGGTACCACAAATCAGGGTCAACACTGAAAAAAAGGGTGGGAAGACTGTCACAGATAAGTATGACAGTTAAGTTACAGAGTGAGGTAAAGGATTGAGAGGGGCAGAAGAGAGCTTTCTGAGGCTTTAAAATTTATAGAAGAATGTATATGAAGGCTAGGACTGCCCAGAGCCCTGAGAAAAGAGCTACAAATAAGAAGTTTGAGGTTTCAGTCTTTCTCCTACTTTCTGGAGCCCGTGCAAGCTAGTTTTGAAAGATGAAAGGTAACAGAGCAAAAAAGTAAAAAAATGTAAAAGCTTTGTTACTCTTCTCAAAAGGTTACGAAGTCTGTGGAATAGTCTGACATCCTTCATGGTGCATATGTGTGTAGATGTGTGCGTGTCTGATGTTGCACAGTCTTAAGAACATATATACACGAGCACAGCTCACACATGGGCTTGGCTCCAAATTTTCCTGTCCAAATTGATTGTTTGGGATTTACAACACACATCTCCATGGAAACAATCCACAAGAGCCTAATTTTACACTTGGAGAAGCTTAATTATAATACTAATCGCATTAGTGTTAGTTCTAGGTCCCAAGAGTGAGGGCTGTGCAGAGCAGATCAGAGCGCTGTGTCAAGCCTTCGACAGGGGCAAATTATGACTCTGGCTCCCTTCCTGTTCTCCACACCCACCTCCTGCGTCTACCTCTCCAAGCACCCATATATCCGGAGGCACCATTCCGATTATTACATACCCTCCTCCCCATCCAAGTGCTGTATTTTGAAATCTCCTACCATGTCCATTATCAAAACTTAAAGCTCCAAATCATCAGTTCATTGTTTTAAGGGATTAATACCTGTATGAGTATGAAATAATAATAAATGGCATGATAATTAATTGGAAACTGGCTGCTGAAATCTTAAGACACTGCACCGAGGAAAACAGAAAATCCTGCGTTTTATTACCTGGAGAATAAGGCAGAAGTCTAGCAAGCTCTTCTCTCTAAACAGTTGAAACTAAAAGACCTGTTTTTCATAGCCTGGTCCCCCTTCCCTTACCATCCTAACCTAGATATTCTCCATTAATTCAAAGTGTCTGCTGGGTTGGCCTGCCATGATTATTGCCAAAGAAATACAAGGAGGTGCACTGGGTGGTAAGGTCTTCAAGAAAACTTTCTTTCAGATGAGGATTGCCAGGTTATGTCCTAGCTGAATAGCCTGTCGAGCTCCAAGTATATATACCAATTAGCTAAATAAAAAGCCTGCTCAACAACAACAACTTCAAATAGGAAAGAAAGCCAAGAAAAAAAATAATTGGAAAAGAATGGCTCACATGCCTAAAACACACATTTCCAAAATGTCTTCAGTCCACAATTATATGAACCATTTATGCCTCAGATTTTTTAAAGCTATCTGTGCCCTTTAAAACTGCCATTCTTTTAACACCTAAATGACACACTATTATTATTTTTCATCATTAGAGATAACTTACATGACAATTCTGTTCTTTTTCATTAAATATTTTTTAGCATTTTCATATTTCAATCAGCATGATACATAAGCCTTGGAACACCATGTTGTACAATATTCTTGCATGATTCGAGGATAGATTAGAGACTCTACTGTCTGAGTGTCTGTTACCAGAGACCAAGCATGTAATTGAATAGAACAGCTCAACAGGATGCTATATTTATTATTTAAAATATAGAATTTCATTAAGCAGACATAAATTAACTAGCACATAAACAAAGTGGGAATTAGAGATTTTCAGATAGCAGTGGAGTGGGGTTCTAGCTAAGTCCACCTTCTAGTATGTTCTCACTCCCACTTCCAATATCCTCATTCAATTCTTGGATGAAAATCTAACATTGGAGATTTTCTTTGTAGAGCTTAGAATCCCTGTAGGGATGAGTGTTGTGGTGAGAGTGTGGGGGCAGAGAATGCTGTGAAGGAAGATCTGAGAGAAACTTTCCTAAGGAATTAAGAACCATTTGGCCCCATTTTGAGAAACTGGCCGCCAAAAAGAAATCCTAAGAGGACGTAAAGAAAATCCACAATGTTTCTAAGATTGTTGCAGAGTTGGCTTGTCTGTCCTATAGCTGGCAGGTAAGAGGAAAGAGCTGCTGTTGTTAAGTTACACCCCACAGTGAGCCTGATGTACAACAGAACAAAACACTGATCCATCTTGCACATCATTACAATCTGTGCTGTTGGAGACCATTCTTTTGCCAGTGTCAATCCATCTCAATGAAGATTTACAGCTCTTCAGGAATTGGTTCCTCATGATAACATGCACGGAGCATGTTGTTGTGGTTGACTGCCTTTGAGTCGAGCACAACTCATAGTGACCCTATGAACAAAAGGTCTGAAGCCCCTCTACAACTATCAACATTTATCAAACTTGATAGGGTTTCCGGAGGCATGTTATCTAGAAGTGGATGCCTCTCTTGTCCAACTGTTCTGAACCTGTTATAGTGTGTTATTGTTTTTATGTGTCGTTGAGTCACCTGTGATGTAAAGCGACCCTATGTACAGCACTTCTGAAACTGTTCCTTTCCTGAGCCAGTCTCACTAACTCTGATACACCAACTCCCATCGTCCCAGTTACTATAACAATCCATCTCATCTGGGGACTACCCTTCCTGTGTTGTCCATCCACCTTTCTGAGAATAATGCCCTTCTCCAAGGACCGGTCTCTCCTGGCCACATGCCCAAATTAAGTGAGGTGGAGCTACAAAATCCTAGCTTCCAAGGAGAGACTTGGTTTCACCCTCTCCAAGACAGATTTGTTTTCTTGGCAGTCCAGGGTATGTTCAAGACTCTTCTCCAGCACCACAACTCGAAGATGTCTATTCTTCTTCTGTTATCCTTAGTCACTGTCAAACTCTCTGGAGCATAAAAAGTAATTGAGAGGACCATGGTCTGGATTAGGCACACCTTTGTCTCTAGACTGACATTGTTGCTCTTCAGCACTATGGAGAGGTCCATGACAGCAGATTTACCCAATGCAATTCATATTTTGATTTCCTGACTGCTGGTGTTAAGAATGTTGATTGTGGAGCCGAGCAAGCTGTAATTGTTAACAACATCAATCTCCTCTCTATCTAATATGGTGCTTCCAATTGGCTCAGTGGTGAGAATCTTTGTCTTCTGATGTTGGGCTTCAATCCATATTGTAGACTAGTCTTT